CCCAATAGCCAAGATTATCCGAACTCTCAATGCGAGGTGTAAAATGTTGGCTGTTGCGTCATCCGAACAGAAAGAATTGGTCAAGGCTTTGGGAGGGAAATCGCTGAACTCGAGTTGCAGCTTAGTGTATGAAGTAGCCCTAACCCCAGACCTACCAAAAGACCAAAGTTATCCATTAAAAATGTTACACGTTCCGGCGAAAAACAAGCACCATTAGCGATAAACAACTGTGATGCCAAGCCAGTTGAAAATTCTATAAAATCTTCTGTTGTACCGCAAGGCGTAAAGACTTATGCACAAATTGCACGATCATCGCTATTAGCTGGGCAGCACATTATAAACTGTGTGAATAACGTCGTTGCACAGGAGAATTCTTGCTGCAGCCTTGACTTGTCTTCCCCACAAGACAAGATCAACACTTCCACACGACAAACCTCCACCCAAAAAGAACTGCAACAAACTAAATTACTACGCAACCAACAAGCGATGACAGTCATATGTTCAAACGTACCAGAACCCACCAGCAAGTCGTTAAAAGGTCGACAAGCCGAAGAGTAAAATCGCTGGACTGAGATAAGCTGCGCACTAGGACTAAACGTTCACCTAACTAGTCTTACACGTCTGTCACAAAACCCATCGTCTCCTCAAGTAGGGGAACCTCGGTTACTGCGATTAACATTTGGCAACACAAAGGACTTGGAGGATGTTCTCTTAGCAAGCCACAGTCTACCGAACTCTTCTCTCAGTGCCCGCATTTTTCCAGACATGCCATGGAATGAAAGACAAAAGAAAAAAATCCGACCGAACCGCGTCTCGTCAAAATGTAATGAAGAAAGTGGTGTTGGTTCATGGTGTGCCCGAACTGAAACATGGAGACACCAGTGAAAGACAAAAACACGATATTGATGAGTGGCGCTACATCACAGAACTCTATGGCTGATGAAATGGGGAGATATTTTGAAAGTCTACAAATCATCTCCAACCTCCAACATGGATTCAGACGCGGACGATCTTGCCTCACCAATCTACTACTTGCTCGGGACTCATGGACCAGGGCTGCTGACGAGGGAGTTCCTGTAGATGTGATTTACTTAGACTTTTCTAAGGCATTCGACAGAGTCAATCACCCAGCACTTCTCCGAAAGCTTGCGGCCTATGGTATCCACGGATCCTTGCTCACATGGTTGGAAAGTTACTTATACGACAGAAGAATCGAGGTAAGGATCGCCAACACCCACTCCGATAGCCTATGCGTCACTAGCGGCGTACCGCAAGGATCAGTTCTCGGCCCGTTACTCTTTTTAGTTTATATCAACGACCACCCTGCCAACATTCAATCACCTATGCAAATATTCGCCGACGATGCTAAGATGTGGCGAGCTATTCAGTCAACATCTGACCCTGTCTAACTGCAGGATGACCTGAACCGGATTCACGAATGGGCAGTAAACAACCAACTACCCCTGAACCCCGAAAAGTGTCACCTGTTGTCGCTGCGCAGTAACTGCAGCAACACAAATCACCTGGGGCAGCGCGTTATAAAACAGGTGAGCAACGAAAGAGACTTAGGGGTCATCGTGCAAGAAGGTCTGGGTAATTCGCTCCAATGTTCAAAGGCAGCTAACATAGCGAACTTAAACTTGAGGCTTTTGAGGCGAGCGCTCGGTCCCTTCGAGCGGCAACTCGTGCCATTATTGATTAACGCCTACATTCGTCCCCACCTCGAGTATGCGGTGCAGGCATGGCGTCCGTGATTAAAACGGGACATTCGTCTCCTGGAGCAACCACAAAGAAGAGCCACTAAGGCAACACGTGGTCTATCGGGCCTTAGTTATGAACTGCGCCTTCGTTCGATCGGTCTGTACTCCTTAGAATACCGACGACTTCGCGATGATCTGATCCTCACTTACCGGATACTAAGAGAAGAGGTCCATCCATGTAAGTCGCTGTTAACATTATCTGCCGACAAACGATGCCGAGGCCATGCACTAACACTTGTGACTCAACATTCCCGTTTAGATTGTAGAACGTTTTTTTACTCTCTTAGTGTCTGTCCGCACTGGAACGCACTGCCATCGCATGTGGTGAACGCACCAAACATCGAGACATTCGAAAGACTATTGGACTTGCACTTACATGATACACATTATATAACGGTATGACAAACTGCAGTGTCTAATTTACTGATATTTTTGTGTCACACCTGAAGCTTTTGTTTTCTTCCATTTGCCATCCTGTGGGTCTTGTAAAGTTATTGCTTTTTATCCCACCATACACTATTGAACTATTGAATTGAACTATGTGTTTCTCTCAATTGGCAACTGTGAAATTATCTCAGCCCTCAGTCGGGCAAGATTACCAGGATGCGTACCGAAATTTCGCTCTGTTGTCTAATGACACTGCGCATCAGTGGAACAGGATCTCTGCCATCATGCACGACACAGGAGCATTTGCTTATGGTATTATTCATCGTCACCGTACCAGTCACTGGATATCCGAGAGGTCGGTGAAACTGTTGGAATTCAGAAGCAACCTTCCGCTTGGTTCTGAGCATAATGTGACAAGACTGACTGTTAGGTGCTAAATGAAGCGAGGCCTGCATGCTGACAAGGATGCCTAGTGGATTAGTCGCGCTCAAGAAATGGAAGAGGCGCGACCCGCAGGCAAATATCATAAGTTCTTCCAGTGGATCCGCGCAACTGGTTCCAGGAAGCCAGGCGTCAGCGAGACAATTAGAGACAGCGTGGGTGCCATTTTGCACAATAAGGAGCATTGTATGGCTATTTGGACGGAGAGCTTTCAAGGCCAGTGCAGTTGCCCTCTGCTTCCAGAATTCTTCCTTCTCAGCTGATGCAGGCTTGGCCGTGGCCGGTTAGTTTAAAGGCTCCATCAGAGGCCTAGGTGCGGTACGTGATCACGTCTCGCGATCCTTTTCGTGCCGCTGGCCCGGACTCACTGCAACCTGCACTATCTAAGCACGGTGGTGTGATACTCTGCAAAGCGCTGACATCCCTGTTTGAACAGGCCTGAGAGGAAAAGACAATCTAGGCCCTGTGGTGAATCGATTATAGTGGCAATATACAAGATGGACAGTCGCACAGACTGTGCTAACCACAAGTGTAATAGGCTAACGGTAGTTGTAACAAAATTACCGGTCTCAATTCTCGCTTATGGTCTCACTACGGAACGCGAATCCCTGATAATGGAAGAGCAGGCAAGTTTCCGCTTAGGATGGGCTTTGCAAGCCCCACATTCACTATGCGGCAGTTACTAGAGCAGCGCCACGCATACCGCCGCCCGATAATGGGTGTGTTACTCGACTTCAAGAGCACATTCGACTGCGTCGATAGATGCGTTCTGTTCGAGACACTTGAGCGAAAATGTGGTCCCATGAAATATGTGAAAATTTTGTGTGCTCAATAATCCGACACGACAGGCTGTGTCAGGGCCTACGGTGTGTTAACAGATATCTTACCGATAACAAGTAGAGTAGGTGTGCGTCGCTCAATTTCCTCGTTTTTTGTCAAATTCGTCGAGGATTACATCCTGGGGAATCCCATGAGGAATCATGCGGAATCCCACAATGCACACCTCGAGGTGCTGCTTGGTGAAGGGTAAGTTGATTTTATGCGGACTACATCGTTTTGCTTCCTAATGATGACGACGTGGTGCAATCAGCCATGAATAACCTCTCTAGTGATCTCATTATTTGGTATGCGCTTCGCACCTTCAAAGAGCAAAGCTTTGTTGCAAGACCACTATCCACTTGATAATCTCCTGAAACTTGATGGCGAGGAACTCGAGGTAGTTTATCAATTTATTTACCTTGGCAGCGAAGTCAGCAACGATGCGCGCATAAACATTGAAGCTAGTTCAATTAGTGCAAAAACCAAAACTGACTTCTTGCATATGCGATACATTTGACGACAGAAAAGAGTTTCCCTCCGTCTGAAAGGCTGTGGTTAGAGGGTCACAATGAGAGCCATCCTATTCTATGGGAGTGAGACTTGGCTTCTTCGATCCGAGAAGCTGAGGCGCCTTCAAGTCTCTGATAATCGCTGTCTGCGCAACATTGCTGATGTCGGATGACGCCAAGGTGTCAGCAACGACGATGTGCGTAGGCGTGTGCTAGATAGTGATAACCAAGCTAGTTCCTTAGAACAACCGATGGCACGGAATAAATTACGTTGGTTTGGGCACATACTACTTACGCCTGGTCACGGCTTACGAAGCAGTGCCTTGTTTTGTTTGCCAGATGTGGGGTGGGGCAAAGCTCTAGGTTTACAGAACTTGACTTGGCAACGGGAAACGAAGTAACTAATGACCAAACTCGAGCCCAAGTGACCCAAATTGTGCTTGTCTCGAGAGGATACAGGACGTGGCTCGCAGTCGCCGCCATTGACGCAGCCGCTGTCGTCTCCTAGTCGGACTGCATGTGTGTTGGTGCTGAGTTATTTATGAGGTAACGGCTGATTATGAAGCGAGGCAATAAAAGCCGCAAGGAAGCTGTGTCGCCGATGATGCGTAGCTTTGCACGATATCCACTTTTTGTGACGGTACGCTGTTGACCCAAGGTGTAGGCACCTTGATACTGAATGTTTGCTTAGGGCATCAAGGTTTTCCGGTAATTCCCTCTTCTCCCATTCTTATTGTTCTTCGTTGCTTAGGTCATTATTATTGTATAGCAGCGAATCATGAGCTCAAATGGCTGATGTGATGCTGTTGATGTTGATGACAGCCATATAGTAAAACGAGTTCACATTCTGTAAGTTCTCTCATTGAAGTCAACACTATGCCTATTGCCTGGCCGCATAATGACAGGGATCACAAATACTTGCTTTGAGAAACATCAATGTCATGTTACCATGGCTATACCGAAGTCGTGCTCGTAAGAAATTTGTGGAATCAGCAATTATGCGTGAAATCAGTAACAATGCACTAGATTTGGTTATCTACGTGCCATTAAAATATAAGACTGCTCTACTGAAACTTAGACTCACTTCGGTGTATGACTCTAAGCTTACACTGCTCCAGTTATGTAGCGTGATGCCCGGTTCCAGTGCGGTGTTGATCAGTTGCACAGTTGGCGCGACCAATGTCGTTAGGCCAGGGGGCACCTTTTTCATAATGCGTGCGTATTCATTGCACATGAGCTGACATATTGTAAGACAGAAGGGATGTTGTTAGGTTCACTACAGCGCCAGTGGGACAAAGATAAGTACAACACAATCATAGTGACATTATGGTTTACAAGCGAAGTGAATCAGGTGACGATATAATGTGCCAAATGGTGCACAACCAGCAATAACCAACACAGGTTTGGTTAACTACTTTCTGCATGCCTCTGTGCGAACATTGTGGTAAGTCAACCAAAACGATTTACATATATAACTTTCAGAAATTTAAAGCGGTTCGTTCCCCTTAACAATTTGAAAAGCACGGAAAGAAGACGAAGGTTGGTAGACGCATGCATTTCGTATTGTCTCCTTAGTACCATTAACAATAAACGATATGCATAGATATAGCTAACAGTGGGTTCAACCAGAAAGGCTTAAGGTAAAAAACGAATGACGGAAGTTCACACCTACGTCCAAGGCAGCTTTAAGCTGACAAATAATTGTTTCTGAACACACAAGACTGACTTAATCCAGCTTATAGCGACAGCCTCAGCAAACCGAAGGATGCGGGGATTAGTATGACGTAACTGTAGCATCCGCACGCACGTACGCACGCGCAGACGGGACGTGCAAGCTTGGCCGATACAAGGTCACTTGACCTTATCGACTCATGTGAGACTTGAAAAGAAACATAACAGAAGCATCACGTGCACGACGGCCGATGAACGTCAACGGGGCTGACTATATACCATAAGATTGAACAGTGCCTTGTGCTCTACCGTGATACATTGTTAAATTGTGTCAATCTACTGTCACTTTTGACAAACTATTTTCCTATCTAATTTCGGAGTTTTCACTATTATTTGTTGGGTCGTTAACTACGTAATAATACGCAACCGTATTTTCCTATAAAACCCCAACAAATTTTTGGTGACCCCGACGTGACCTAAAATGGCCTCCGAAGACAGCTATTTGATGTCCTCTGTATCACATCAACCAGCGCACAGAATTGACACTGTTTCATTCAACCTCACGCCGTTTTGGCATTTTGATCCAGCAATCTAGTTCTGTCAGGTCGAAGCACAATTCCATCTCCGGAATATCACACAACAGTCAACCATGTTTTATCATGTGCTTTCTGTGCTTCCATCTGAAGTTGCTGCGGATGTTCGTGATGTGTTACAAGCCCCAGATCAAGTCACCCCTTTCAACACTTTGCGCGACACTATCATCAAACGGACAACGATATCAGAATATAAGCGTCTGGAACAATTCCTCAACGGTGCTGATCTTGGTGAATGTACACCATCACAGTTACTTCGTCGAATGTACAACACTTTGGGAGATCGCCAGCTTGATTCCGCTTTTTTCATCCAACTGTTTTTGAAGTGTCTCCCTTCATATGTACAAACATCTCTAGCACCGTCGACTGACACTGTCCCCATCGACAAACTGGCGACTATGGCTGGTCGAATTTTAGAAGTTCAACCAAATTCAACTTCTTTGTCTTCGATCAACTCAGCGACGGAAACACCGTCCATTGCCGACCAGATTAAGCTGACTTCCGAACAAATCGCTGAACTTAGAGCTTCACACTCTCGCCAATTTCGATGTTTTTCAAGTCGACGATCAAACAGCAGAAATTACCGATCGAATTCTAACAACAGACAGTCTGACAACTACTGTTGGTACCACAACAAATTTGGTCATAGAGCAAGGAAAGGTGTTTCCCCCTGTTTGTTCAGAAACTCCAAAAACAATGCTCCGCAGATGCCGGAAAACCGCCAGGCCGAGTGTTAGGGGCGAGTAACACTCGTAGCTATCAAACCCAATCTCGCCGTCTTTCTGCTGTGGATCGTACTTCTGGACTAAAATTTTTGATTTACGCTGGAGCAAACGTTGGTACTATTCCCCCGAAACCCACCGACACTCTCCCTCCTGGGAAATTTTATGAACTTACTGCTGCAAATGGTACGAAAATACGTATGTTTGGACAAAGTTTGCTGATACTTAATTTAGGATTACGACGTGAGTACCCTTGGATTTTTCCTATTGCGGATGTTCGCCAGCCTATTTTAGGTGCGGATTTTCTTACACATTTTAATTTATTAGTTGACTTGAAAAACCGCAGCCTCCAGGACGGTATTACTAAGTTATCTGTGTGCAGTGAACCTATCATTTGTTCCCAATCTGTTCCATTGTTATTGTCTACGTTTCATCCAACCTCCTATTCTTCCATACTTAGAGATTTCCCTAACCTTCTTAAACCCATTTTCACCAGGCTAATCCCAAACATTCTTTAACCCGTAGGATAGAGGCTTGCGGTAACCCCGTTTTTGCTCGCCCCCGACGTATGCCACCTGAACGCTTGCTCATCGCCAAATGGGAATTTCAACACACGCTCCAACTGGGAATTATCAGACCCTCTCACAGTACTTTTGCTTCACCTTTGCATATGGTCCCTAAGTCAACGCCAAATGATTGGCTCCCTTGTGGTGACTATCGAGCCTTCAACAACTCCACTATCCCCGATAAATATCCCCTTCCTCATATCCACGATTTTACTGCAAACATTACCGGTTGTACAGTTTTCTCACACATTGACATTCTCAGAGCGTATCATCATATCCCTATTCACCCCGATGACGTGCACAAGACAGCTATTACCACTGCTTTTGGTTTGTTTGAGTTTTTGCGTATGCCCTTTGGTTTAAGGAATGCTGCTCAGACCTTTCAACGTTTTATTGACCAAGTTCTCCACAATCTGGATTTTGTATTCTGTTATTTAGATGATATTCTCGTTGCTTTCAAAACTCATGATGAACACATTACCCATCTTCGCATACTGTTTCAACGTCTACAAGATCATGGCGTAGTACTTAACGTTCAGAAATGCGAATTTGGCGTTTCCTCTTTAAACTTTCTCGGACATACGATTAATCAGCATGGCATTACTCCCGCAAAACCTAAGCTAGACGCCATCACATCATTTCCGTGTCCCACTTCTCTTCGTCAACTGAAGCGTTTTCTTGGAATGGTTAATTGTTATCGTCGTTTCATTTCTTATGCAGCCGCTATGTTGATGCCTTTGACTGACCTGTTGAGAGAAACTCACTGACTTTCCTTTTTCTGAACAAGCTCAACAAGCAATTGAGAAAGCCAAATGTACCTTAGCGAAACAATGTACCTTGTTTCATGTGCGTCAAGGTGATCCCTTGTCTCTCTACGTGGATGCATCTAACACTGCAGTAGGGGTTGTTCTTCATCAAACCGCTGACCACCAGAAACAACCACTTGGTTTCTTCTCCAAGAGACGCGGTATAGTGTATTTGGTCGAGAACTTTTGGCCATCTATCTAGCTGTGTGTTACTTCCGACATCTTTTGGAATGCCGTGAATTTTGCAACTATTCAGACCATAAAGCTCTTGCTTCGGCCTTTTCTGCTAATCCCGACAAATATTCGCCCCGAGAGATTCGCCAACTTGATTACATTAACCATTGGGTCGCGACATTTGGTGTTCCAGCCACCATTACGACTGATCGCGGTTCCCAGTTTGAATCCATTCTTTTCTCAAACATTACCAACATTCTTGGATGCTAACGCGTCCGTTCCACAGCATATCACCAGCAAGTAAACGGCTTAGTGGAACGTTTGCATCGCCACATCAAAACAGCTCTACTGGCTCACAACAACCCATCTCAATGGTGTGATTTCCTACCACTTGTGTTGTTACAGCTACGTACAATGCTTCGACAAACTTTGCAATGCTCACCTGCAGAACCTGTTTATGGAACCACTTTACGCCTGTCCGGCGAATATTTCTGTCCGTCTAGTACTGAACATCCACAACCATCTAATCTTGCAAGAGTTGAGCTTACACATGTCAAAACTCTGTTACGCACCTTCACCCTCAACCAGTACAAGTTCTTATGTTCCCTCTGACCTAATGCATTGCGCTTATGTTGTCATACGTTCAGATCGTGTGCGCAAACCCCTTCAACCACCGTACGATCGACCATACCGAGTCATTCCTAGCGGTCCTAAGCATTTCATTGTTCAACTCCCAACTCTGACCGACACAGTGAGCATAGACCGTCCCAAGCCCGCACACATCGAAGCTGCAGTCAATCCCTCGAATCACGCCCCTACTACGAAATCGCAATCACCAATCACGCCTCTGAACTACGTCACACGTTTCGGTCGTGAAGTTACGACACCCGACCGATTCAGACAACTTTCACTCTTTGCAAGGGAGGAGTATATGCAGCATCCGCACGCACGCACGCACGCACGCACGCACGCACGCACGCACGCACGCGCAGACGGGACGTGCAAGCTTGGCCGATACAAGGTCACTTGACCTTATCGACTCATGTGAGACTTGAAAAGAAACATAACAGAAGCATCACGTGCACGACGGCCGATGAACGTCAACGGGGCTGACTATATACCATAAGATTGAACAGTGCCTTGTGCTCTACCGTGATACATTGTTAAATTGTGTCAATCTACTGTCACTTTTGACAAACTATTTTCCTATCTAATTTCGGAGTTTTCACTATTATTTGTTGGGTCGTTAACTACGTAATAATACGTAACCGTATTTTTCTATAAAACCTCAACAAATTTTTGGTGACCCCGACGTGACCTAAAATGGCCTCCGAAGACAGCTATTTGATGTCCTCTGTATCACATCAACCAGCGCACAGAATTGACACTGTTTCATTCAACCTCACGCCGTTTTGGCATTTTGATCCAGCAATCTAGTTCTGTCAGGTCGAAGCACAATTCCATCTCCGGAATATCACACAACAGTCAACCATGTTTTATCATGTGCTTTCTGTGCTTCCATCTGAAGTTGCTGCGGATGTTCGTGATGTGTTACAAGCCCCAGATCAAGTCACCCCTTTCAACACTTTGCGCGACACTATCATCAAACGGACAACGATATCAGAATATAAGTGTCTGGAACAATTCCTCAGCGGTGCTGATCTTGGTGAATGTACAACATCACAGTTACTTCGTCGAATGTACAAC